TAAGTTTGTAGTATCATTCTATTTCTTTTGTTTCTGTTTAAGTGTATAGCACTTTTATCCTGGAAATTTACCAAAGAAATTACTGACAGTGTTTGCCTTTGATAGTGGGATTATGGGTTTGCAAGTAAGGACTAGAGAAAGATTATAGCTTACTTTATAACTTTCTGATTATTTGACAATTTTATATCAATTACCTTAAAAATAAAAGCAATAAGGTTTGAATCTTGTTATCAACAAGCTTATAATCTAGTGGAAAGGTGAACGAACTTTCATGAAATAAGTTTGAAATCTCAGAAAGTGGAACTAGTGTCTAGACTGATGATCTGGATATGGAAGATTAGTGAATAACATATGGAAAACTGAGGGAAGTAGGAATTAAGTTATACACTTTTAATAATTGTAATTCAAGTGAGTTTCACCTAAATAAAAATACTTGAAACAGTAAACTGCATGTCTGTATCAGAGTTTTATTACCTAACATTATTTTTAAAACAAAAGCAAGGAAGAAAATTTGTAGAAGTGTCTTGAAGCTGAAAAGACCAAAAGATTCTGTCTACTGAATTAGAATTTAAGCCAAGTGAAGTTAACACAATTATGTGTTTATTTGGGCTAACCCTCTACTTTCACCATATTTCTTGGGTTACTAGAATGCTACTCTTTTAACACAATCAACAATATAATTTCCTGTCTCCACCTGAGCCAGAAGTTTGGGCTTTCGGTTGCCTTATAAAGTGACAATGTATTTCTGTTATTGCTTCAATTGCTTGAGGGGTCATCCTCATAAAGTTTTCTCCCAGGCCTATTTTTTCAAATGTTTACCCTGTACTCTCTCCAAGAATCTTTATAATTTCATGTCTTAAGTTTAAGTCTTTTATCCAGTGAGAGTCAATTTTTGTTAGAGGTGAAAGGTGTGGGTCGAGTTTCAGTCTTCTACAAGACGCCAGCCAATTCACCCAGCACCATTTGTTAAATAGGGAGTCTTTCCCCCAATTTATATTTTTGATAGGCTTATCAAAGATCAAATGATGATAAGCATCTGGTTTCATCTCTTGGTTCTCAATTGTGTTCCATACATCTACCTCTCTATTTTCATGCCACTACCATGTTGTTTTGATAACTATAGATTTATAGTATATTCTGGAGTCTGGTAACATGATCCCACATGATTTGTTTTTATATCTGAGCAATGTCTTAGCTATTCTAGGTTTTTTCTGTTTCCATATAAAATGAAGTACTAGTTTTTTTCAGGTCTTTAAAGTATTGCAGAGGTGCTTTCATAGGGACTGCATTAAATGCCAAAAATACATTACGGAGATCCGATCAAACTAAAAAGCTTCTGCACTGCCAAGAACACAATAAGTAAAGCAAGTAGATGCCCTCAGAATGGGAGCGGATTTTTGCAGATTACGTTTCTGACAAAGATCTAATAACCAGAATCTGCACTGAACTCAAACTTATTAATAATAAAAGAACAAGTGATCCCATTTCATTGTGGGCAAGAGGCTTGAACAGAAGATTCTCTAAAGAAGACAGGTGCATGGTCTATAGGCACATGAAAAAATGTTCATCATCTTTAATCATCAGAGAAATGCAAATCAAAACCACATTGAGATACCATCTAGCTCCAGTAAGAGTAGCCCACATAACAAAATCCCAAAACTACAAATGTTGGTGTGGATGTGGAGAAAAGGGAACACTTTTGCACTGCTTATAGGAATGCAAGATAATAGGTTCCTTTTGGAGAGAAGTTTGAAGAATAGTCAGGGATCTAAAAATAGACCTGCAATTTGATCCTGTATTTCCTCTACCAGGAGTATATCCAAAAGATCAAAAATCTCTCTGCAACAAAGGTATTTGCACCAGATTATTCATTGCAGCTAAATTCAGCTCAAGTCATGGAAGAAGCCCAAGTGCCCATTGACCCATCAGTGGATTAATAAATTGTAGTATATTTATACTATGGAATACTATACAGCCTTAAAAAAGATGGAGACTTTACCTCTTTTATGTTTACATGGATGGAGCTGGAACATATTCTCCTAAGTAAAGTATCTCAAGAATGGAAGAAAAAGTATCCAATGTACTCAGTACTTTATGAAACCAATTTATAATTACTCACACTTTCTTATGAAAGATAGATCACAACTATAGCCCAGGATGAAGGAGAGAAATGGAGGTGGAAGGGAGGGGATGGGGAAGGTTTGATAGAGGGAGGGTAAATGGTGGGACCACACCTATGGAGCATATTGCAAGGGTACAAGTCAAATCTATCAAGCATAGAATATAAATATCTTAACAAAATATTCAAGTAAATGAGGTGAAAGCTATATTAATTAGTTTGATGAAAACACTCCAAATTGTATAAAATATCAACACATTGTACCCCACAAATACATAAATGTATTCATGATCTATGTGTATATGACTTAATAAAAGGGAAAAAAAGATAGAAAAGAAAAGAAAAAAAATAAAGTGCAAATGGCTCTAAAGTCCAGTAGAAATACAAAACTGACTTCAACTTCAGGCTTCCTTCAGGAATGATTCACCTTCTTCTTTAATTCCACCTTTCCCCCACTTTCTTTAAATGGGTATTCACCATTTAAATGCTAATAGATTTTTCATACTTTATTTATTTTATTTCCTTAGTTAAAATATGCTCTTTTTTTGCATTTAAATTTTATTAGCATTTCTTATTGTCATGACTTTTATTTTTTTTATTAAATCATAGCTGTGTACATTAATGCAGTCATGGGATACAGTGTGCTGGTTTTATATACAATTTGAAACATTTTCACCAAACTGGTTAATATAGCCTTCATGGCATTTTCTTAGTTATTGTGTTAAGACATTTATATTCTACATTTAGAAAGGTTCACATGTACCCTTGTAAGATGGACCATAGGTATGGTCCCGTCAATCACCCTCCCTCCACCCATCCTCCCTCTTCCCCTCCCCTCCCTCTCTCCCATCCCCAAAGTTTTAAATATTACTGCTCTTCCTCCCATATTTTTACATAGTATTGTCATAATAGGTCATCTTTAGCATTGTTAATGCTGTGATCCCAGCACATTTGTAGCAAATAAAATTAGAGCTTATTTACTTCAATTTAATGGATGTATCAGACTTAGATGTTCTCTAAGTTAATTACAAATTAATTGGCTGACTGTGTTCAGTGTTCTGTTCTTATTTCTTCCGTTCTGACAGTAATGTAGGTTAACCTTCACTGGAGAATTTGTTGGAATGAAAATTTATGGGAATATTTATGCTGCCTGTTGTAATGAGTTATTTGAATCTCCCTAGAAGTTTCCTATCATTTAATTTTATTCTGTTTTATTTTGAAAAATTTGTTTCACAACTATTGTGCAATCAATGTAGGATAAACAGTTATACGATTTTTTTTGTTGTAAATTACTTGAAGGTTATTACTCTTGATTGAAAAACTTGGATGACATATTTTGATTCATTTATTAGGAATATGTCATTTAGTATTAGTACTTAGAATAAATATTTTTCATTTTTTAATAGGGGAAACAGATTAACTGATAATGAAATATACTAGCACACATACACCAAAAGTAGTCTATATCTTATGAAGAGATGTGCTTTTATTATTCAATTCTAACTTCATTGTCTTGCTGGTAAACCATCAATTCATGTGTTGCTTTTCTGTATGGTGGCTAAAAACACTTTTCAAAAGATTGCAACTTTAAAACTATAAACAAATTTAGAATTGCATCAGTTTTAGATATGATTAAACTTTTTAATTAAGTCATATTTTATATGTTATATATACTATTTTCCACTGAATCTAATTTAGGAAAAGTTTTATTTTAAATTCATTTAGAGTGGAAATATTGAAAGCAATATACGTCTAGAAAGCATTTGAGTTCTAGCCTCTGTGTGGGACCAGATCAATCATATCATATTAGGAAGAGGGAAACAGCACAATCTTATACCTCATGCCATGATTTGCAATATTTGTCTCCAACTCTTATTCTCACAATTACTCTCTGTCTTTCTCTTTCTCTTTCATCACAAGACAACAGGGATTTTCAGAAAATATACATGTGTACACACATGTATATATACACACACCATATATATATATATATATATATATATATATATATATTCTGTGTTTGGATTTTTTCCACCACTTTTGGAGATAATTGGAGACAATATAGAAATTAGACAACCAGAAAAAAATATGAGGTATTTCTACTTCTAGCTCTGCCATGGAATCTCTCTGACTATTTAACTAGCCCTTTCACCTTTCTTTTCCTGACATATTATCAGCAAAATGGAGGTCATTACTGTATCTAATTTACTACTATTTCTAATTTACTTTCCAAGGATGCTTCCAGAGTTTATTGAATTAAAACAACGTATAAAGTCCATAGACTATTGAATAGAAAATGCCTAAGAACAAAAAGTGTAGGCATTCTTACATTTCTCTTATCTACTTTTAAAATTAATTATAACATAAGTGGGAGACCAATGTCTAGACTTATATTATATGGGAAATCTAGATTAATTTATCAAAAGGCAGCACATTGATACCACCCAGTCTTTTTTTAATATGTGGTATGTGAGTGAATGTGAATATCTGTATTGTAGAAAAATGTTTGAAAGAATATACATTAAAATGTCAATAGTTGTTATTTCCAATTTGTGGGTAATTTAAGTTCTACTATTTCTTTATCTATATTTCCTACAATGGACACTAATTATTTCTGCAATTAAAACTGTTTAAAGTCAACAATGACTAATTGCTATCAATTAAAAAAAATATTCATTTCATCCTAGCACACTGAATTAGATTATGGAATAAAACAGTAAAAAATTATCATTTTTAAAATTAGAGCACACAGAGTAAGAATTGTGAAATGAATTTAGCTGTTATTATTTGTTGAAAATAATACAGTATATCTCTCCCTGATGATCCTCTCCATACCATTATTTCTTTTGATTATTCTAAATGTTTAAAATGTGCTTTTCAGCTACAAGACCGCACACAGTTCAGTGACCGAGACTTAGCCACCCTTAAGAAGTATTGGGACAATGGCATGACCAGCCTGGGTTCTGTTTGCAGAGAGAAAATTGAAGCTGTTGCAACTGAATTAAATGTTGACTGTGAAATAGTTCGGGTAAGATATTTTCAATAATTTTCATACCGTAGTTGATGAGTGTTATGAATGAAAGCTTAAAAAACTGCTTGAGGTATGCAAACAATACCATCAGTAAAGTAAAAAGATAAATATGTTGTATATCAGATATTTATCTGTTAATAAACTTGTATCTAGAATATTTCAAGAACACTTACAACTCTATAAGGAAAAGGTAATTAACACAATTTAAAAATAGGCAAAGTGTGTGAATAGACATTTCTCTAAGGAAGATATACAAACTGCCAATCAGCACATGAAAAGATGTTCAACATCATTAATCATTATGAAAATAGAAATTAAAACTACATTGAGATACCACTTAATATTCACTATAACTATAAGAAAAAAAGTTAATAACAAGTATTGGCTAGGATATAGAAATTTATAATCTTTTATGGTGTTGGTAAGAATGAAAAATGTTTTAGCCACTCTGGAAAATAGGCCTCAAAAAGTTTACCATAGTTATCTTATGACCTAAAAATGCCACTCCTAGAACAGAATTCAATGCAATCAAAAAATGAAAAATATATACCTCCAACTCAAAAACTTGCAAACTAATATTTATAACAATAATATCCATAATGGCCCAAAGTGGAAAAGAATTCAACTGTCCACTAAATGAATGAATAGACAACAGGAGGTATATGCATATAATATTATAGAGCTATATAAAGGAATGGAGTATTGATACATGCTACACAATGGATGAACTTTGAAAGCATGCTAAGTGAGAACAGCTAATGGCAGAAGTCCACCATATTATGTGATTCCATTTATATGAAATATCAAAAATCGCTACACTACAGAGACAGAAAGTAGACTAGTGGTTGCCAAGACCTAAGAGGATGGAGGAATGGGGAATGTCTCTACTGGTTATAAAGTCATGACATGATGAAAATGTTCTGGAATTAGCTAGTAGTGATTGTTGCACAGTTCTGTGAATATTAAAAACTTTTAATTGTATGCATTAAATAAGTGAATAATATAGTATGTTTAATATATCTCAGTAACATTGTTTAAAAAGTTGCATGGGGTGATATGAACTACATTTCATATATTACCTAGAAATTATACATAAAAATTATACTGATCAGTTGTGAGAATGGTAATTTAATTACCAATCACTTCTCAGCCTTCTGGCTAAGATCAAGTATAGGAATTTAATTTCCATTTGAAAGATGTTTATATAAAATTTAGTTAGTGATAATGCTTGTATTTAACAATTTCTTCTTTAAGAGGAAAAACTCTGATTTATCATATTTGCTGATTTCCATGGTGCAAATATTTTTATTATAGTTTATCACAAGTCTCACTCAATGCAGAGTTGGGAAGAGATGCTAACAATTAGCTCTTGTGAGCAAGCATAAATTGTCTTAAGCACACACTGGAGAATCATCCCAGAAGATCAAGAGGGAAGTAGTATCAAAGAACAAATGAGAAAACATAAAACTCTCCTGTGAGAAGAGATAACGTAATTTCTTATACATATATGAAGAAAGAGCAATATAGGGAGAAGTGGTAGAGGACAGGGTTCTCAAATAAATTCCATTCTTAAAATAAATATTGTCCTGTTCAGGGGACAGGATCCAGATGGGAAAACAAATTTAATTCTGAATGTACTGAGCATGCTACTATGGATTAGTATACACTAACAAGGAGAGAGAAGTGGATTAGACACTATTTTTATTTTTTTAATTTTATGAATTCATAAACATGTATACATTAATGCATTTATGGGGTATGATGAGCTAATTTCATATAGAATTAGAAATGCTTACATCACATTGGTTAATATATACCTCATCTCCTTTACTTAATTAATGTGTTAAGACATTTATACTCTATACTTAATAGATCCAACATGTACCCTTGCATTATGCACTATAGGGGTGATACCACCATTCGCCCTCCCTCTATCTGATCTTCCCCCTCCATTTCCATCCCCCCTCCTCCCTTCTTCATCCTGGGCCATAGTTGTGATCTATTCTTCATGTGAAAGTGTGAGTGATTATAAATTGGTTTCATAATAGCACTGAGGACATTGGATGTTTTTTCTTCCATTCTTGAGATACTTTACTAAGTAGGATATGTTCCAGCTCCATCCCTGTAAACATAAAAGAGATAAAGTCTCCATCTTTTTAAGGCTGCATAATATTCCATTGTATACATATACCACAATTTATTAATCCACTTGTGGGTCGATGGGCACTTGGGCTTCTTCCATGACTTGGCTATTATGAATTGAACTTCAATGAACAAGCTGGTGCAAATATCTTTGTTATAAAGTGATTTTAGGTCTTTTGGATATACACCTAGTAGAGGAATTGCAGGATCAAACAGCATGTTTAACTGTTTCTATTTTCAATACCTTAGCATCTAGCAAGAGGACACTATTTCTATTTTTAATAGATTAGCATATAGCAAGAATGAAGACACAAGATCACAAACTACTGAGGAATAATTGGAATATGATCACAGTATGAGGAGCCTAAACAAAGGCCAAAAAATGGAGAACTATAGAGCATGTGTTTTTGTTGTCATTGTTATTTTTTTTTAATTTATTGTTGGGGATTCATTGAAGGTACAAGAATCCAGGTTTTACTGATTGCATTTGTTAGGTAAAGTCCCTCTTAAAATCATGTCTTGCCCCCAAAAGGTGTGGCAAACACCAAGAACCCACCCCCACCCTCCTTCCCTCTCACTGCTATTCCCTTCCCCACTCTTCCTTCTTTCTCTCACTGCTCTCCCCTTCCCCTACCCCAACCATGTCATTAATTGTCATTAGTTGTCCTCATATCAAAATTGAGTGCATAGGATTCATGCTTCTTCATTCTTGTGATGTTTTACTAAGAATAATGTGTTCCCCTTCCATCTATTTTAATACAAAGGCTATAAAGTCTCCATTTTTTTATGGCTGAATAGTATGCCATGGTATACATATACCACAGCTTGTTAATCCATTCCTGGCTTGGTGGCATTTAGGCTGTTACCATATTTTGGTGATTATAAATTGAGCTGCAATAAACCGTCTAGTGCAAACATCCTTATGATAACAAGATTTATTTTTTTCCTTCTGGGTAGATGCCCAGTAATGGGACTGCAGGATCAAATGGGAGGTCTATCTTGAATTCTTTGAGGGTTCTCCATACTTCCTTCCAAAAAGGTTGCATTAGTTTGCAGTCCCACCAGCAGTGTAAAAGTGTTCCCTTCTCTCCACATCCATGCCAGTTTTGAGAATTTGTGACGTAGGCCATTCTCACTGGGATTAGATAATATCTCAGGGTGGTTTTGATTTGCATTTCTCTAATAATTAGGGATGATCAGCATTTTTTCATATATTTTTTAGCCATTCATCTGTCTTCTTTAGACAAGGTTCTATTCATGTCTCTTGCCCATTGATATATGGGATTGTGGGCTTTTTTGATGTTTATTAATTTGAGTTCTCTATAGATCCTTTTTACCAAGCTTTTGTCTGATTCAAAACATGCAAATATCTTTTCTGATTGTGTAGGTTGTCTATTTGCTTTGGTTATTGTCTCCTTAGTTGTGCAGAAGCTTTTCAGTTTAAATAAGTCCTATTTGTTTATTTTTGTTGTTGCAGTTCTCATGGCAGTCTTCTTCATGAATTCTTTTCCCAGGCCAATATCTTCCAGTGTTTTTCCTATACCTTCTCTGAGGATTTTTATTGTTTCATACCTTAAATTTAAGTCCTGTATCCATCTTGAATCAATTTTTCTGAGTGGGGAAAGTGTGGGTCCAGTTTCAGTCTTTTACATGTGGATAACCATTTCTTATAGCACCATTTATTGAATAGTGGGTCTTTTCCCCGAGGTATATTCTTGTTTAGTTTATCCAAGATTGCATGGTTATAAGATGTTAGTTTCATTTCTTGGTTTTCTGTTCGATTCCAAATGTCTATGTCTTTATTTTTGTGCCAGTACATGCTGTCTTGAACACTATAACTTTGTATTGCAGCCAAAAATCTGGTATGGTGATGCCCCCAGCTTTGTTTTTATTACTAAGAATTGCCTTAACTATATGGAGTTTTATTTTGGTTCCATAAAAAACACAGAATCTTTTTTTCTAAAACTTGAAAGTACAATGTTGGCATTTTAATAGAGATGGCACTGAATGGGTAGATTGTTTTGGGAAGTATAGATATTTTAACAATGTTGATTCTTCCCTGCCATGAGCATGGTATGGTCTTCAATTTGTTAATATCCTCTGCTATTTCTTTTCTTAGGATTAAATAATTTTCTTTATAGAGGTCCTTCATCTCCTTTATTGGGTATATTCCTAGATATTTCATTTTCTTTGAAGCTATGGTGAAGGGAGTTGTGTCCTTTTTTTCTTTTTCTTTTTTTTTTTT